TAGTTCTATGGTCTTGTGCTCGTTGCCTGGGTAGCTAGCCGCTGGCAGCCGCCATGGCCACGCCCGCCTTGGCATGCATGGGAATGGGATGGGTCACCGTCGGCGCTGCTACACGCGGTGGCTGGTTGTCTGGCTGTTGGACCTCTCCGTCTCCAAGTGGCTTGGCTTAGTGCTGAATCGGGGCACAAAGCTCATAGTTGGATCCAAGGCAGTGCTTGATGATGGATGCGAAGGAGACATGCACTGCTTGGTTAGTTTGCTACTGGATTAAGCTGTTACATGTACATAAGAGTATTATTTTTCTCTGAAGCTGGGCGGGCCACGGCCTTGTTTTGCCCTCAAGAAGCTCCGCCAGTGGCCAGGAGGTCCAGGGCCGCGTGACCATGCCGGAGTCGCGCCAGAATGCGGAGGTTGACCAAAGTCAACTTTGTTATGATCCTGAACATGCCCAAAGCATACATGCAGGTAACTTGGCCATGAGTGCTCACGCACAGGTGAAGCCCAGAATAACTCAACCGCATGGAGTTGATGTTGGCGAGCTTCTTTTTCAGCCGGGGGTGTTGGAGGCGCTGTCTAGCGCTATCGCAGCAAGAATCGCTACAGCCGGGGGTGATACGGAGAATAATGCTCTACCCTTTAAATTCAATGCAGCAAAAAATCATATGCGAGGCAATTCAAAAGAGAAAGAAAAAAAGAAAGGGGGCCCAAACAGAGCTGAGGATGCTCGCAAGCAAGTGCTAGGGAAAAAAAGGGGGCATTCTTTTGGGGCTTATCCAACGGGCAGTGACTTAGAGTTTTCTTTTGAGAAAGAGATGGATAGTTATGAGCGCGTCTTATATGGTGATGTAAACGTCTCATCCAAACGGGTGTGCATGGGTATAGTTGTAGCTGTCGAGGATGAGGAGGGCGGGGTTACACATGTTGCAAAGGAGACGGATGAGAAGGAGGAAGAGTATGCGCCGCGAGGTGGGGAATCAGTTGGCGAAGACAAAGATGAGATTGGCACATCGGCGGCCTCCGAGGAGGAGGACCGCCGGGCCAAATGAAAATCCTAGGCTGAAACTGCCGTGGTATGCTCTCCAACACGACAGTTCGTGAGCTTCTGGATCTACAGAAGCGTACAAGAGCAGATTTAATTTTCCTTTCTGAATCTCATTTGAATAATTGTAAAGCCGATGAGCTTCGTCGCGTATTAGGTTTTGATTCTATGTTTGTAGTGGAAAGTGATGGTAAGGCCGGTGGCCTCGCTTTGTTTTATCATGAGTCCAATAAAATTGAGTTGAACTATGTTTCACCTCATTTATTGATATTGTTTTTATGTATGAGAATGTGGTTCAGTGGCGGTTCACGGGCTTTTATGGTCACCCAAAATGGAATGAACGCCATCTATCTTGGGATGACATTCGTAATCTACATAGTAAGAGCAACCATCCTTGGGTGGTTTTGGGGGATTTTAATGAAATTTTATACCCCTCGGAAAAAGAGGGTGGTGTAGCTAGACCACTTGGTATGATGAAAGAGTTCCGTGAATGCCTAACGGATTGTGGGCTGGATGATCTAGGCTACTTTGGGGACATGTTCACTTGGAGGAGAGGCGAAATACGTGAGCGCCTTGATCGTGCAGTCTGTAACTTAGCATGGGCAAACAAATTTCCACGAGCGGCAGCTATCAATGAAGAACATGTTCATTCTGACCATCGCCCAATCGTACTGGATATGGAGTATTGGGATGAAAAAATCTTTAAAAGCCAAGAAGGACGTGTTAAACAATTTGAGGCGAGATGGTTGAAGGAAGAGACGGTCACTGAAATCGTTAAGGCATCTTGGGAGAAAGCAAAGCTAGCAGGTATTGGACCCTCACTTGCTGACCGTACGAGAGCAGTGCATGCCGATCTACATACTTGGGACCGGGAAACGCTAAAGAGACCAAAGGTGAGAATTAGAAAATTAAAAAAAGAGTTGGAGAAACTAAGGCGTGGTCCATTGAATACGGAATCTCGATGCCGTCAGAAGAAAATTATAATGGTAATTGAAAATATTTTGGAGCAAGAGGAAATATTTTGGTTACAGAGAGGACGAGCAAATTGGTTGATGCATGGGGATCGTAATACGTCGTTCTTTCATAATGCTGCCACAGCCAAGAAAAAAAGAAATAATATAAAGAAACTATTAGACGAGTCAGGAAACTGGTTAACAGATAAGGAATTGACGAATCACATTACTGGATATTTTACAAAGCTTTTTACATCGGAAGTTCAACACCCGAATCAAGATGTTTTATCACTTGTTCAAAGGAGAGTGTCAAACGAAATGAATGATGTTTTACTTGCCCCTTATACCACGGAAGATGTTCGCAAGGCTTTATTTGATATTGGGGACTTGAAAGCTCCAGGGCCAGATGGACTCCATGCTATCTTTTATAAAAGGTTTTGACCCATGCTGGGGGAAGACTTAATTGAGGAGGTCCTGACAGCAATCAACACATGCACTATACCGGAGGGTTGGAATGATACGGGATCGTGATGATTCCTAAAATTAATACACCAGAGAAGGTAACTCAATTTAGGCCGATCAGCTTATGTAATGTGCTATATAAAATAACTGCAAAAATGGTGGCCTCTCGATTGAAGGTTTTTTTACCAGAAATTATTAGCCCAACACAGAGTGCATTTGTACCGGGTAGATTGATAACGGATAATATTTTAGTGGCCTATGAATGTTTTCACACAATAAAGAACAAAAGAGAGGGTAGAGAGGGCTTGTGTAAAACTTGATATGCATAAAGCCTACGATAGAGTTGAGTGGACTTTTTTGAAAGAGATTATGTTGAAACTGGGCTTTCGTCGTGAGTGGGTTAACTTGATTATGCAATGCGTCTCAACCGTAGAATACAAAGTAAGGATCAATGAAGAGGAAAGTGGGAGATTTAAGCCTACGAGAGGGTTGAGACAGGGGGACCCGCTATCACCATACCTTTTTTTGCTGTGCACAGAAGGATTGAATTCCTTGCTTGTGCATGCTGAGGAGAATGGAAACATATCAGGAGTAAAAGTCTGTAGAGATGCCCCATCGGTCACAAATCTTCTCTTTGCGGATGACTCATTGATCTTAATGAAAGCCAACCAACGTAATGCGGAAAACCTGAAAACAGTACTAGATTTATATTGTACGGCGTCAGGACAACTGGTAAGCGTTGAAAAATCCAGTATTTTCTTCAGCCCTAATACAAAGGTAGAGATCAGAGAACAATTGTGTACAACGCTAAATATAATGACGGAGGCCCTCACTGATAAATATTTGGGCTTACCAGCAAATGTAGGTGTTGATAAAACAGACTGCTTTAGTTTTCTGATTGAACGTATTGTTAAGAGAATTAGTGGTTGGAAGGAAAAATTACTATCTGCTGGAGGGAAGGAGATCCTATTAAAGGCGGTGATCCAAGCCATACCTACCTATGCATTGTCGGTCTTTAAAATTCCTAAAAAAGTTTGTAAAGGAATCATTGACGCGATGGCGCATTTCTGGTGGGGAGACGAGGAGAACCAGAAGAGAATGCACTGGATGGCCTGGTGGAAAATGTGTGTATCAAAAAACCAAGGAGGAATGGGATTCCGTGATATCCACTGTTTCAACCTGGCTCTGCTTGCAAAACAGGCATGACGTCTCCTTGATAATTCTGACTCCTTGTGTGCTACTATTCTAAGGGCAAAGTACTATCCTAATGGTGATTTGCTGAACTCCAAGCCAAAGCATGGTGCTTCCTTCACCTGGCAAAGCATTATGGCAGGCATCACTACTCTCAAACGAGGTTATATTTGGCGAGTGGGGGATGGACATAGTATCAATATTTGGGAAGATGCCTGAATCCCAAATTGTGCCACTAGGAAGATTGTGACTCCTAGGAGGGGGCATTTATTCTCAAAAGTTGTAGATTTGATTGACCCGGTCTTCAATGATTGGGATGAGGACCTGATTAGACAAACTATGTGGACCATTGACGCACAACGGATTCTTTCAATCCCAATTTCGCAACATAATATGACAGATTTTATTGCCTGGAGTTATACGAAAAACGGTCTGTTTTCGGTACGGTCTGCTTACTCTGTGGAGTGGAGCTATCAGTATGGGAGCAAACTAAAATATTCCAACGGGATGGGACGGAGCACACGTAACCCTATATGGTGTCAGATATGGAAGTTATCTTGTCCGACTAAAGTCAAAATATTTTTATGGCGGACACTACATGGTACTCTTGCTGCCGAGGAGAGGGAGGGAGATGTTTCAGTAAATTTCATGCACTGTTGCTTAGTTGCATCGCACTGACTGATGTTTCAGTAAATCTCATGTACATACTCAGCAAATTCATGAACCTGGCCATCAAGGCTTCACAAGTTTGGAGTACAGATGACCAAACTTTTTTCTTTTTGAGATGTACACTCCAAACTTTACATACATGGCCAGCAAAGATTGAACGGCATCAGTAAACAGACAAATTCCTTGAACCTTCTTACTGCCTTTTTAGAGCTTTCTGTATGGACTACAAACGGATGGATATAGACATATTTTAGAATATGATTCACTCATTTTGTTCCATATATAGTTCATATTGAAATATCTAGAAAGACTTGTACTCCCTCCGTTCCAAATAGGTGACTCAACTTTCTACTAGGGAGTATTTAGGAGTAGTCTCTTGGTTAAAACATGCACATATTCAACCAATTCGACAACAAAACACAACCCAGCTTCAAGATGGCTATTACAAGTACAACAACTCAAAGGCCCAGACTGCTACTATCTCCAAACCAGTTACGAACTACCCGTATATAACACGACTGCTTCACTTACTAGTACTATATATACTTACTAAATCAGAACTCTGCATAAATACACACAAAACACGATTTCCACGCAACTACACCGACTTGCACCAAACACCGTAGAGACCCCCTATACATTTGACAACCTCAAAAACGTACTGCAACAACATACACAGCACACGCCTACTCAGCGTGGTTCGAACCATCCCCGTCGGAGAGCATCCAGCGCATGTACTCCGCCCCATCATCAAGCAATGAGACCTCGCTGGGGATGGTGACCCTCTTGCGAGTCAGCGTCTCGACCGTCACAGCCGACCTCTTCCGCCCACCTCCTCGGCGCGAGCGCAGCTGCTCATCCATCTCCTCATAGTCGCCCTGCATCAAGTTAGGGCGTCATTCACTTGATTTGGGCAGCAAGAGAATATGTTGACTATACTAGCGACTATAGGCATCCGCCAAAGGACATATGGAATTTCTCCATCACACTGATCAGCTAGCAAGACTCACCTCTACGTATACATGACAACTCGATTTCTCATGATTGTCCCTGACATGCTTGTAGGGGAATGTCTTGCCACACCCCGCGACCCGACACTCAAAAGGTCTGACTTGGTCGTGGCACGCCTTCATATGCTTGTTTAGATTTGATTTCTGCAATGGAAAGGGGACAAGTCAGTTCAGGCGAAAACATGTGTACATAAAACCACACTTGAAAGAAGAGTAAGGGTATCAGAAAGTGTATCTAAGGTCTTACGGTGGAGAAGGAGCATTCACAGCCATCAAAACTGCATTTCAACCTTTCAGTAGAGTGCACTTCGTCGTGAGCTCGTAGATGCCTTTTAATGTTCTTCCTCAGGTGTTTCTCCCCACAAATATCACAGTGAGTATATAGATGGCAAGACTGGTTATGAGCCCTCAGGCACTTGGCATTTGTGAATGTCTTCAAGCAGCCAGGCTCACAGCAGACTACTTCCACATAGTCCAATTTGGCTGCCAGAAAATAGCAAAACATGCATCAGGTCAAGACATCCCATAAGCACGCCATGAATAACAAGGAATGAACTCCAGTAAAAAATGATAAAGAACACGCTTAGATACACAATCTGATTTAACAAGCAGTCTACTGATGGATTCTTATCACTGAGGTCATACCATGCGACTCCTCATGTTTCTTCAGCTGTGAAGGATACTTGAAAGCCTTTTTACAGCCCTCCTCCTGGCAAATAACCTGTTGGTTGCTTTTAGTGTCATCCATTTTGCATTCGTGCTCATCCTCATGCATTTCCTTAACATGTCTTTGAATATTTGCCTTGATGCTGAACCTCTTGCCACAACCTTCTAGAGGGCATGTAAACAACTTGCCCTCATGTGTAAGCATATGCCGGTTCAAGTGATCTTTTCTTATATAGCTGAAGGGGCAGTCTTCAAGTGGGCAGGCGAAGGATCTCTGCAGTCAAGCAAGAAAAGTAAGTCCAAATTCAAACGGTTGCAATACTTATGGTTTAGTAAATATTACATGTCACCCAAACAGAAACATATTGATGCAAATCTTCCCTATCTCAAACCCTTAAACGCATATATCATCCAAATAATGAGGGATAAATATATTCTGAAAATTGGATTCTCATGAAACAACTACAAGATAAAGTCATAAAACCCTTCAACTCAAATTTATGCTCAAAATTTAATTTCAAGATAATAGATAGGAACCTACATAGTCATTTCAATCAAACATTTATAGTAATAAGGAAAATAGGTTAAAGAATAATGCAGCAAATACCTAACTAATTAAATGACCCAAGTTTAGCACAATATTTGTTCTCTTAAAGTCCAATGACAGAGGAGTATTGTCATCATAGCGAGCAGAGAACCAATGAAGAATGGTGCTAGCTTTCTGAGACGACATCTTGATATCGGATCCTCTCACTCTTGGCAAAGCTCCCCCTTAAGGAAACCCACTAAGAGATAGCAGGATAAGATAAGGGCATTGCCACCCTCATCTCCAAAAGGATCCAAGAACACCTATAAGTTTATTCTTACGAGTATTGTCACCATAGTGAGCTGAGAACCAATGAAGAATGGTGCTAGCATCTCCAAAAGGATCCAAGAACACCTATAAGTTTATTCTTACGAGTATTGTCACCATAGCGAGCTGAGAACCAATGAAGAATGGTGCTAGCTTTCTGAGAAGACATTTTGTTATCGGATCCTCTCACTCTTCGCAAAGCTCCCTTGAGGAAACCCACTAAGAGACAGTAGGATAAAACAAGGGTATAGCCACCCTTATCTCCAAAGAATCCAAAACACACCTAATAGTTATTTGTTGAGTTATGAATATTGTCACCATAGCGAGCTGAGAACCAATGAAGAATGGCCCTAGCTTTCTGAGACGACATTTTGATATCGGATCCTCTCACTCTTAGCAAAGCTCCCTTAAGGAAACCCACTAAGAGATAGCAGGATAAGATAAGGGCATTGCCACCCTTATCTCCAAAGGATCCACAACACATACAATTATTAACTGTCGAGTATAGATTATGTTGAATAAGTATCCACACCACAGCGAGCTAAAGAACCTAATTAATAAGGACCAAGCTTTCTGAGATGGCATCTTGATTTTGGATCCAATCTTAGCTCCAACTAAGGACCACAAAACATGAAGCCCAAAGAAGTAACATAGAAAGAGGACAGTAGAAAGATAGGAGATAGATGGCATCCCATATTCCCTGAAGGATCCATTTTACAACTATGCAACATCACAATGAACAATGGACAGCATCAAGCCAACATTAAACTAGTTGCCTCTGCCTTAATGCCCCAATAGACAGCATCAAGCCAATTATAACAGTTAAAAATGCTTACATGCCCTATGTAACTGCAGACTAGCCATGAAACTCAACATATTGTATACAACTCAATACTCCCTGGGTCCCACAATATAAGATGTTTTTGCAAGCTATGTTAGCTTAGCTTGCAAAAACATCTTATATTATGGGATGGAGGGAGTAGATGGAAAACATTTCAGCAAGCATTTGCATATCACAAACAAAAACAAACAAATGTAACTTTGTTGGAAACAAAGAGGCGCAACATATTATGCAGATTATCACAGTTATGTAATGATTAAAACAAGTATAAACAAGGACAAACCTCCTGAGTAAGCGTGAAGGAGGCAATCTTGTTGGAGCTTCACAGGAGGTCATCCCAACCTGTTACTAGTCCAACCAAGATTAAAATGTGCCTCCATGCATTTTGGAGTTCTGTAATGGGATCCAATGCTTCACGCTGTTAAGTATCTATTATCTAAACCCTGCAAAACAACTGTGTTTAGCGAATTGTATAAAATAGAACAATTTGTTTCCTGGAAAGATCCACAGATGCAGAAAATGCAGGGAAACCATGCTGTGTTATCTTATCCAGTAGTCTCAAATTCTATTCATCCATGAGAAATACAAACCTCTTTGGAATGACTTTGCATATGCTGCTTCAGATGAGCTGGCTTCCGGAAACAAGCTCCACACTCTTCACATGCGTGTCCAACCCCATAAACAACCTTTTCACCATTTGAGTCATAGATTTCTGATGCGTCCAACTCATCCTGTAGATAAATTTGGGAGAGAGTATTATCAATATCACACATTTTGTCAACAGGGTATAAAATGCATAAGAGAGAAAGGGCTGGATTTAATCTATGATATACAGAGCAGACAAAATCACTGGATTTGACTTCCTATTTAAGTAGGAAGAGGCATCCATGATTCGCATCTATATTTTCATTTGAAGTGTTATACTATAATGCAAGTCTGCAGATCGGGGTCATAGCTATCGCGGTGATTCTGGTTGAGTGGTTGTAATGTTGTGATAGGGGTATTTATGTTCTAACATTATAACAGCACCTAATTTTTTTTCCTCGCCTAGTCTGTATGCATGGTGAAGTTATTTACAGCTTGACAAAAACTTGATTAATCAAACTGGGCAGAAATCAGAAAAGATACACCTATACATCAACTAAACCAAAAATGTGTGCACACTGCCTTTCAGCACGAAGATATAATCTTAACCACGAGCTAAAAATATCTGTAAAATAGTGTACCTTGTGCTGAGCTACCATGTGAGCTCGTATGAGATACATCTTGGACCTAACAACAGTGCAAAATTCACACTTGATGCGTCTAATATCTTTGCCATGTGTCTCTTCAGACTTCTCATCTCCATCGATCCCATCTCCAGAAGACATCTAACAGTAGGTGAAAGAGAAAGTTAGAAGTGGTGTTTATTACAAAGCAAGCAACTTGATGAAACATTCATAGGTACGGAATACAAACAGAACAAAACAAGATAGCTGAAAATGATTGCAAACATGTACATAACTGGACTACCTATCTACTCTTCTTTTATCAAATATCAACAACCAATGGAAGTATCGCATGCTTTTAAAGTGGATAACTTATGAATGTTAATGACTCCACAGCACATGAAACCCCAATCAAACAGAAAAATACAGTGCATTTACTTCAAGTTTTCAGCATAATACAGAAAAAGGCACTGATAATCACAAGACAAGGCATAACAATATATGAACAGTGCATTAATAACAGTATTTGGTACAAAATCCAAAAATTCTGGGATAAGACACAAGACTATCTCAGGAACTCAGAAAATATCTTATATAAGTTATTAATGAAGAAATGGCCAGTATACATATTTAGAATAAGAGCTCCTCATCCACACAGATTAATGAGTTTTCTTCCAGTGGGGATGATCTAAGATCCATCTTTAACTGCCTATCAATTCCTTCCAAGGTGTCGTAAATTTCCCTTCGAGCATCATGCGCCTTGTCCTGTACCAAGAATTCATGGACACCACCATCGACTTCAATCCAACTACACCCTGGTTTTTTGAAGATCTTCCTTGTCAGAATTTGTTTTCTTATATCCAGAGCTTGTTTCCACCTATCTGATGAGGCGTATATGTTCCAAAGAAGCACATAAACCCCATCATCCCCTGGTTCTCTCTTTATAATCTCCTGCCCGGCAATCTCAGCCAATCTATCATTGCCATGAACAAGGCACGCACTAAGAAGTGACCTCCATATAACAGTATCAGGTTCCACATCCATATCATATATCAGGGCTTCTGCTTCCTCTAATAGCCCACCCCGTCCTAACAAATCAACAATGCATCCATAGTGCTCAAGCTGTGGTTTAATGTTGTAGATCCTACGCATTTTATCAAATAACTCTCTGCCTTGCTGTATTAACCCAGCATGGCTGCAGGCTGACAAAACAGACACAAAGGTGACACTATTTGGAACAATCCCAGACCTTAGCATGTCCTCAAAGAGCTCAAGAGCTTTTATCCCATCACCCTGGACAGTGAAGCTCGAGATCATGGTTGTCCATGTGAATGCATCCTTCACCAGCACTTCTTCGAACACGGCAAATGCCATCTCTATGCTTCCACTCTTTGCATACATGTCCATCAGAGCATTGCTAACAATTACATTTGTGCTGATATTGAATTTACTTCCGTACCCATGAATGACACGCCCAAGATCTAGGGAGCCAATGTCAGCGCAAGCAGACAGTACACCTACAATTGTAACATGTGTGGGGCGGTGACCTTCCAGCACCATCCTACCAAAAATTTCTAGAGCTCGGATAGGCTGCTTGGCCTGAACATGGCCGGTCACCAACGCCGTCCAGGAAACCATGCTCTTCACCGGCATCCGGTCAAAGAAGGACAACGCTGAGTCCACACCGACACACTTCATATACCCATGCAGCATGCTGCCCCAGGTGACCTCGTCTTTCACCGCCATTTCATCAAACACCCCTAGCGCGCCCTCAAACCTCCCGCACCGGCAATACATATCAACCAGAGCATTGCCGACGACCAACTCTGAGCCCAACCCGCAACGGAAAATCAGGCCATGCACCGCCGAACCAGCACAAAGATCCCCAGCCCCGCCAGACGCCGAGAGAGCGCCGACAACCACAAAGCCATCAGGGCGGTGACCGGAGGCGATGGCGCGCGAGAACGTGAACATGGCCTCATGGTGCTGGTTTAGCTGGAGGTGGAGCGACATGAGGCTGGTGAAGGAGACGAGGTCCGGGCAGGGGATCTCGCCGAACAGCCGGCGCGCCTCGGCGGGGCGGCCGAAGTCGGCATAGCACCGGAAGAGCTTACACGAGATGGACTGGTTACACGGGTGGAGGCCATGGGTGACGGCCCGGGCGTGGATACTCTTCAGCTCTCGCAGGGATCTGCACTGGGCGAGCAGGTGGTGGCACACGCTCCTGTTCATCCGCCTCCCCTCGGACCGTGGCCACCTGGAATTAGAGCCGAAATTACTGGGAAAACTAGCAAGCGGTCCGCTCTACAGGCGCTCATGAGCGACAAATCGCCGCAGGTCGTCGCGGATCTGGGCAAGTGCCGGGGGAAACCTAGGCGCGCGGCGAAGGTCTCCGAGCAATTTTCGGCTCGTCGGATGAAATGCAGCGGTGCTGACGATTGTTCGGACTAAATCGCGGGAGAGGTTTGCTGGGGATTCGAGAGGGAGGGCGGGGGCGGGTGCTCACCGTGGGTTCGGAGGCGGAGGCGGAGGCGGAGGGTGCGGCCGTGGGGAACGGAGCTGGGGATGACGCCGCTGGCTCGTGGGCAGTGGGGAGGCGGCGGCGGAGGGAGGGAGTGGTGTTCCTTGGCTGTTACGGAGGCTGGCTGGTGCCTCTTTAAAACCCTAGCGCGCCGGTGTCTTCCTGGGCCTGGGCCTAGTGGGCTTGGCAGCGGATGGGCCGACGTCTGGAAAGGAGGAGGGAGCTCCCACGCGGCGGGAAGCTGCATATTCCCGCCGTTGTCATCCTGTTTTCAGAAGAAGAGGAAAACTGGACGAAATCACCAGCTAAGAGTTATTTCTCTCTTTTTTTGACAAAAAAAACATGTTTTATTCATTGGAAATGACCATTACACCATTTATGAGGGATGGTACAATTTCAACATCTGGCTCCTCAAACCAATCAGCAACGAACGGAAATCTAGCCAACCTGACGAGTTCGTGAGCAACTTTATTTGATTCTCTGTTACAATGCTTCAACCTAAAAAATAGTAAAATCACAAACTAAATGAAAGCAATCATAAAAAAACTGCCGCCGTTGCCCCTGACGATCGTTCTTTTTCCGTCATGGTATCAATCACCTCCATGCTATCCGAGTTAATAATAATGCGATTGCATCCTATCCTTTGCGCTAGAGACGAACCAAATTTTAGGGCCAGAGTTTCAGCCATCTGAACATCCACGCACTAGTCAATCTTACCATTACGGGCCAGAGCTTCAGCCATCGGAACATCCGCGCACCAGTCAATCCTACCATTACCCCAGCAATAAATCTACCTTTGTCGTCCCTTAAGACTGCTTTCATCGTGCCCCTAAGTAAGTCATGGTCAAAAGAAGCATCAACGTTGAGTTTAACAAATTAACCCTACAGGAGGGCAAGACCATCCCCTGTTTTCATGGAGACCTTTTGCAGGGAAGCAGTAACAAAATTGGTTGTAAGAGCCCGAATTCCCATTAAAATCTGGTGTGCATTTTGAGTTGTCTCCTTGTGAACCAATTTACGCCTTTCCCATCACATGTACCAGGCTGATATGACAATCATTTCATGTACATTTTGGATGCCCATCATACACAATTCATGATCTAGCACTGAAAGTAAATATTCCAAAAACCGCTTCACTCGCACGATCTACTTGAAAAGCTATATCGATAATATCATCCATCCCCATCCTTCTCCACACTTCCTTTGCTCTATTGCATAAAAATAATTGATACTTTGTATCTTCTAGCCCATTCGAGCAGACAAAACAGTTAGGCGAGACTTTTACATGTGCTAGTGCAACATGGCACGGAAGGGTGCTTAGTAAGCATTCACAGTGTGCTTAGCAGGCATTCACACGTTTTTTTCTGGAAACATCTCACACTTTTTTTCACCTTTTTCTCTTCCGAGAAGCATACTGTGCTTCCTTTCGGAGAAACACACTTGTGCTTCTCGCGGAAGCAAACTTGTGCCTGCACAAGAAGCATGTGCTTCTCATGGAAGCACATTTTTTTCACGCAAAAAAAGTCCGTGGATTTCCCCCCTCCAAAACCTAGGAAAAACTAGATGAAAACCGAAAGCCTAAAAAACATCTAAAACCCGAAAATGCGTACAGAAAAATTAAAAGAATGAAACCCAAAGGAAGCGTCCAACAAGCAACATGTGGATGCAGATATACGCACCGCTTGGCGTGCTCCTAGGGCACCAAAAGTGACCCCTAGAGGTCCCTGCAAGGGTTAACCTCCAGTTAGTTGGTCTCTGGTTTTTCTCAGAAAAAAAGAGAAGTCGTTGTCGTCATGGTTTAAGAAAAAACATGATGTTGATTGAATCAATGACAATGAGTCCATCGATTTAGGTTTTTAGTGGTGGAACCGGTTCACTGCAATTATGTTGTAATTAGTTAGGAAATATATGTGCAAAAATATGGTAGAGTAATCAAAGTTGGCATCTTCATATTCTCCATCCAACTTGTTCGTGTCTTGTTGCATTACCTTCTACACCCTTTGTCCCTAAATAGAAGACGTTTTTGTAGTTCAAAGATAGTACATTCATGGATGAGAAGTGAGGATGATCCACTAGAGGATGAAGTTTATGGACAATCACAAGACTGCCCTTGTGAAGACACTTGTGGAATGTGTCAATCGCAAGAATTCTGAAGTTATACTAAAGCAATGACAAGTAATATGGATTGGAGGGAGTATCATACTATTTCTCTATGTTTCAAAAGATAATGAGAACAACATGAACTTTTTAATTTCTAGGTTGTCAACCTTAAACTTCAATATGGTATGCTTGAACTATTTCAGTGAAATACTTTTGGAATTTGTGTAAGCCCTACTATGATTTCGCGTCACTTATCTAGTAATTTTCCAAGATGATATATGCCAATTTGGTGTTGGTTGAATAAAGCATGTTAGGTATATTTTTCCCTCCTTGGATGACAATAGTATTTCTCAACTCCATTTAACATAGTGAGTGCTCTGTTTCTTCAATTAAATGTTTAACTTGTACTATATATTATTGACTTGTAGCTAACAATCATTTGTTCTTCTATGAAAGCAAGGTCAACAGCTAAAAAAAGCAAATCAATGAGAGAGGTCGTGAAGATAAAGCAAAGATGAGTTGCATATGCCAAATGCATGGCTAAGGCAATGGCCCCCTTTTGGGTTATAAACAACACTGTAAAAGCCATGTTGAATCGCTTACATGCACTGTATGCGAAACGAGCACAACTGCTTAGTAATTTAATTTTGAAATTTGAGCTCACCATTGTTCATGAGAAGAAATTTGAGCAATTAATACATTGATGAGCATTATTTATATCATTCCTTTGCTCCATCATGTTGTTAGATAGCTACATCATGACTTTTTTATGGGAGATTTTATGTTCTTGGCTTCTTAGAAGATGGATTCTTCATAGGTTTCCCTATTTTCCAATTTGTTCTTGCAAAAATTGCAGGTTTCTTGGACACACATAATCATATGTTTCTCTAATTATGAGGGTTCATGGCTGGGCGCAACAAAGCGTGCCTCCGTGGTCTAGTTTTATTATATTAGCAAAAGTCAATGACTACACTAGAAGACCCAATATAAGTAAAAAGTAAAGTGTGATCCCATAGTCTTTCAACCCCGTCTTCTCACAGCCCCACGATGAACACCCCAAGATCACCATCGGAGAAATGGTCATCATAATGTATTAGTTGTAAAGACCTTGCCAAAATCTTCAGGAGCAACACAAAGCCACCATGGCTATAGGAACAAATGTTGTAAGTGGTCACGTGCCCGCCAGGGTTTCCCAAGCAGCAATGCAAGGGGTCGACATTCTTGTGCTCCTGGTGGTCTGAATGTTGTGGTTGGAGCATAATGCTCGTGCCTTTTATGCCTCCCCGAGCATCGTCCAGCGGGTCTGCGCGGCGATTGCCACCGAGGGGCAACTGTGCATCGAAGCAGGGTCCAAAGGGTGGGAGAAATATGGAGATAGCAGCGATAGGCGAATTGGATAGTTGAGTTGGTTGGGGCCTCGGGCTACGCCCCGCCACTATCCACAAACTCTGTGATGGCTGTTGTCGACGCCATAAAAACCTTGTACATACACCTTATGCTTCTTCTAATACATCGGCATGCAAAGTTTTCGTGTGTTCGTAAGAAAAAAACTATATTTAAACAACATGTACATCAGTTCTTCACATACTTGCTATCAATTTTTATCGCGAAAAAGCACATATCATGTTTGAGGCAATTTGGTTGAGGGTCTTCTAGCTATTTCGGTTTCGTTCAACGGTGATAGTGATGTCGTGTGATGTTTTTCCTTTTTAGAAGAAAGGCCCATTGTCATTTTATTATAACCAACTAAACATGAAGGAATACACTACAAGACCCATATAAGAAAAGAAAAGAAAAAAGACCCATTGTCATTTTATTATAACCAACTAAACATGAAGGAATACACTACAAGACCCATATAAGAAAAGAAAAAAAATAACACAGACCCAAAGTCTTTTAATTTTGTCTTCTTCGCCACCTACGATGGACACCGCAACCTCAACGAGAGCGTTAGAGAAGTCGTCATCGTAATAGAGTGGTTGCAAAGACCATGGCAAAAATCTTCCGCGGCAACACAAACCCAAGGCTATAGGAACCAATATTGTAAGTATTGCGCATGCCCCATTTTTCAAAAGGGTATGACTAGATCTCAATCGGCTGAGACTTAACGAAGTCTTTGTCAAGTTTTATCTTTTCTTTGCTTGTGGATTGCTCATAGTCTAGTTAGGGAGGCTGGTCAGAATCACAATGTTTGGGTTGATGAATCTCCTAGCTTTATCATTTCTTTGCATGTGGATGATGTAACAACAATTTGAAAGCAATAAAGTGAGCCATGATGGCATTCCCTCAAAAAAAGTCTCAGTCAAGTGAGAAAACATACAAAAAAAGTAGAAAGAAAGAATATAAAAGTCTCAATCATGGCGACCCTTAAAAGCTTGCCACAAGAAAATCTTAATCTTGGGAGGAATCCGAGCACGCCAGATTAGTCTAAACTTAGTAGTGGGGGTACCAGAAATTAACCTAGCATACAAAGACTTAACCGAAAAACGGCCAGAAGCAGAGTGGGCCATACAACCGAGTCTTCGTTCTCCGAGAGCACGGGGATGTAGGCAACAAGTCGCTGCCAATCATCAAACTCTTCACGAGACAGAGAGCGCCGGAAAGCCAAGTC